ATTGGTTGTCCAAAGGTTCGATCTTGGAACAACAATTCTTGGTTTCTGAAAAGGATTGTACACTGTGTATTTTCGATCAGAAAGATGCCTGTCAGTGTTTGAATTTGAGTTCCTTCAGAGCATTTAAAAGTTAATTTTTCCTCCATAGGAAATATTGCTAAAAACTGGTTCATCTCTGGTATGATTTCGATGTGATTGCCTTGGATGTCTGCCTTAATATATTGACAATTACTGGAGTTTTCTCGTAAGATTATTTCCTTTTCGCATAGGTGTTCTTGGTTATTTTGTAGACGGCTTGGACATTGGAAAATTTTACCGTGGGTGCAGATGTCGTTGAGAGGTATTATTGTATTTTTATTTTTTAACAAATATCTTGTATTAGGTATTATTATTGCAAATTCTGACTCAATTTGTGTGGGTATAGGTAATAAATAATAAAGATCAAAATGTTCTCAAAATCGATAGGAATTGTCAGAAAATATTGAATTTGGTTTTCCTCTATTTTACAGGTGATTTCCAGAATGGATTCAAAATCTAAAATATTTTCGTGTTTTAATTCAAATGGTAATTGTGTTTTGTAAAATAAAGAGATTCTTTGTAATTCTCGAAATAGGTCACTAGATTTAATAATACTAGGGTGTAAGGTTTTGAGCTTACAAAAAGTAATAGAATTTTCTACAGTCTCCATTACATCAAGTATAGAATTATATGTGATAATGAGTTCATTGAACATGTCTTTTAGATAAATAACGTTCTCAATTTTGGTTTGAAAATCGACAATATCTTTTATTTCAAAAATCTTTGTTTTAAGAATTATTTCATTTGTTTGAATATCTTGAATGGTTTTATTGAAGTTATCTATGATTTGTTGACTGAGGGAATATTGATTAAGTATCTGATGTTCTAATTTTTGTTGATTAGTTTTCAAATGTTCTAGTATTAAATTTATTTTCTCGCCATCTTCGGCGTCTAAATTTCCTGTGATTGCTTTTACTATTGAACCAAAGCCATTAATCAAGCCTCTTTTCCTTCTTGTTAAATTAATATGAATATTTAGACCGCTAAATTTTTCTTGTATGCTATTTTTGATATATTGAATAATATTAACATAGTTGTACGTCTCTGATTTAAAGAATTCGCTGTTAGAAATGTTATTTTTAAGATACTCAAATTGCTTGTTCAGGTTGTCATATTCAGTTACAAGTGGTTTTAAATTATAAAAATGTACAAATGTATGACTAGATTTTTGGAGTTTTGCGGTTCCTAATTTTATAGGTAGAATGCCTAGGTTGTGGGTGATATCCTTTATTTCGGCTGTTGTATGTCCGATCGTGACGAACCTGGAAAAATATAAGTTTTCCTTTTAGGTCGTTTTACATTTGAAAGGTGAATGTTTTCGGTAGTATTTTTATGTCGCTTAATAAGTTTTGCTGTTTTCTTAATTTTATTAATGGATTTAATATTTTCTTTTTGATATTTATTTTTAGTTTTTCCTTTTATTTGTCTGTTTCGCACAAATACTTCGGTATTTGAACGAGAGAATTAGAACGGGTGTCATCTCAAACCTTAAACACAAGGATCCAGGCAGTTTCCTTAATGATTGCAAAGCCCTGTTCAAACGTCGGATTCAAAACGCACTTAAGAAAGACGAGGCAGTAAAGGTGAATATGGTATTTGGTGGAGACTTCGAGATAGCCATCGGAGAGAAAATCTTTACAGATACAAAATATTTCACCACATCGAACTCACCCATCTATCGAGACACCAATCTTGATGAATGGTTTGAAAAGAAAGTAATGGAACCCATCAACAGAGACTTGGAAGAATTCCAAGAACGTGATTCTGGATGGGCACTAAAAGCTGTTGTTAACCTGGGGGTAAACATTAATAAATTTACGCCGCAACTAGGCTCCTCATACGTCGAACTCGCTCCTCAAATAAAAAGAAAGAAGGCATGTATTAATGTTAAAAATGATGATGAGGCGTGCTTTGCGTGGGCCGTTGTATCTGCGTTATACCCTGTAGATAAGGATCCACAAAGAGTATCCAAATATCCACATTACTCGCAGGTATTAAAGATGAAGGGAATTCAGTGGCCTATGACCATTAAACAAATTCCTAATTTTAAAAAGCAGAATGACATATCCATTAATGTTTATGTTCTAAAAAAGAATAAAAGAGATTTTACGACCCTGCCAGCCTTCCTAACAAAGAATAAGAAGGATACACATATTAACTTATTATTAATACAAGATAAATATAACGACGTAGAAGGGCCAATTAGATACCACTATGTGGGTGATAAAAAGCCTATCTCGCCTACTCTGTAAACAGCTAAGTAAAGAAGAACATAAACAATATTGAAAAAATATATACATACGAGGAAGGTAAGGAGAAAGGAGCAATGGTAAAGGAACAGATTAATAGGTATTCCCACCAACCACCCGTGCCAGTTAAACCGACACTACAGCATCTCGTACAAAATAGGTTAAATATAGGATTAAAAACAATTAACAAAAAATCCGGTATAAGTATCAAATTTAAAGTTTAAAGTTTATCAAAGTTAAATTTAAAGTAAACAAAAGGAGACTGATTTCAACATGCCTAATAAAAGTAATAAAATGTTAAAATTTAAAAATTTTCGTAATAAGATTAATCACACTTATCACACTTGCTCGTTTTCCCTAAAACTTTTGGGTTGACTGAGTTGAAAAAAGGGGTATTTCCCACATTACTTTAACAAGGCAGAATACCATTCGTACATTGGTTCACTCCCTGATATCCCTTATTACGGGACAAATACCATGAAGCCCAAACAAAGGGTTTGAATTTTTAAAATGGCATGAGGCCCATAAAAACGACGATTTTGATTTTCAGAGGGATCTACATGTCTATTGCGACTGACAGAAGCAGAAAGGCCTAATAATGAATCGGCAAGCACTGATCAGACGGAAGATGAAAACCCCGCTGAAGAACCTGAAGCCACCTTCACGTCCGCGAGAGCAGACTAAATTACTGGCCACCCTACATGATAAAGAAAGATATGTAATACATTATAGGACTTTAAAACAAGCGCTAGCACATGGATTGATCTTGAAAAAGATACACAGGGTACTTAAATTCCAACAAAATCCATGGTTGAAATCATACAGCGATCTTAATACAAATCTCCGGAAGGCAACGAAAAAGCTGCCCCAAACCGTAAAAAGGTACAGAGCGTACCTTCTCCATCAGACTATGGAAATCTAGAGTACAGGGCCAAACAGAGGGTCCTTCTCTTAAATTCAACTCTAACAAAATCTTGAAAGCATCACGTGAAATGATGATGAATGGTTATGAATATACAACTACAAAAACTAATAGATATACTACAGGCATAAAACCTTATAAATAACATCAAAAAAACAACACGACAGTATGGTAAGGAGAAAGGAGCAATGGTAAAGGAGACAGGAAAACAGGTATTCCCACCAACCGCCCGTGCCAGTTAAACCGACACTGCAACATCTCGTACAAAATAGGTAAAATAGGGTACCGAATGTCCAGCAAAAAAAAGTGTCTGTATAGGCGCTAAAAAAAGCGTGCATCAGACACGGCCAAGCAGGCAATGCCTTTTTCTTATGTTTTGCAATTCGTTGCGAAACGAGGTGCGTTTTGCAAAAAGTAATTAGTTGACATAACGTCTACAGGCGCTTGTGACAGGGCCTCTAAACGTCTTACCGGTTCATCAAAAACACCACGTTTTCTAGTGTCGAATATTTTGATTAAACGACAGAAAAGAAGGAAAAAGAACATTGGTAAAGGAGACAGGAAAACAGGTATTCCCACCAACCGCCCGTGCCAGTTAAACCGACACTGCAGCATCTCGTACAAAAATAGGTTAATTATAGGTAGTTGATATTCACAGGAGGAAGAAAGAAACCATTGAAAAACCCTCCTTTAAGTGACAAATATGTTTTACGGAGGTATTTAATAATGTTAAACAAAGCTATTCAGTATAATATGTACTTGTATGTAAACAGTTCAGCAATAAAGTATTTAGCTGTGACACAGAAGGTAATACAGTCCACCATGAAACACCTTTTGGAAGTATTGATAGGTCCTAATTAAAAATCAAGTATTAGCAGTTTCTAAAGTCAAGTATGGCCCAAATACACCTAAAGCAAAACTGTAATATATATATATATATATATATATATATATATATATATATATATATATATATTGAGTACTATCAGAAACAACAACAACGTCTGAAGCCTCTAGAATACGGAAGGTACCGTTGCGATTGTTCAGTCTGAACTGCTAAAAATAATATATGTAGATATGTAACCGTTAAACCCTAGGGTATGTAAAATATGGAGATTCAACAACTAATGACAACTCTACCTCTCAATCCGCGAGCCAAAGGTGTATTCGGTCGTACAGGTAATACCGTAGAGTATTACAACAAATCAGGAGAACCACAGAAAAGAGCCTGAATAAGTTACTACATAATTTTATATTATTTTTATGATAATTATATAATATTTTATGATAATAATAATACATCTATATACTTTAATCGTACAGAAAAAACGAAAAACGTAATACGACCTATCCGTCAAGGATTACAGAGGTAAATGACGCTCGAGGAATATACAGTGTCGCTCAGGAACATAATAACCAACATATGACCATAAAAATTTCCCTATATAATGATTAAAAATAAGTGGATATATCTAAAAACAAATGGTCAAATTGTAGACAATTCCCGAAAAACAAATTTGTCTAATACTGATGAGCAAGATCACAAGATCCTCCACAAGTATATGACATCATACGTTCAACGAAGCCCGACTCATATCTAGTGTATTTTGATGTCAATAATCAATATGGTTGGGCAACGGCACAATTCCTTTCCACACCTGACACCGCCGTTCGTTAGGCTTTTTCACACAGATCTCAATATCCAAAAGACGACATTTACGACAACCCCTAGTTTAATAGGGTATTGTGACATGTTTATTAAAGAAAGCAACGTTAGTACAGAATTTCCCGATAAAACAAGTAGATATAAGTATAGTTCATGTGCTAAGAGGCTGGTGAAAAACATAAACAAAGGGTAAGTAGACTAAGAAACAAAAGCACATAGTCAAATGATATTAAGCACAGATTCCTAGCTCGCGCATTTCACTGTACAACAACAACACGGTTGTGAAAATGTACAGCAAGGGTCTAACAATAACTATAGAAAGTATTCACCAGCAGAAGTACGATCAACTGATTCCGTTATTAAAATGCTGACAATGGTAAAGACATTAATGACAAAAGATCAATTCTATTTTTAAGTAAACGTGTATAAATAATAAGTAAATAAGAAGTACGTATAGAACAGAAAGCTTAAAGCATCAATCAATTCCTTTAAATTAGTAGTAAACAGTAAAGAGGCTAAGTAATAAGTAATATTTATAAGTAGACATAGCCACTTATAAAAAGGCATGTACAATGTACAAAATAAAAAAATAGTATTTTGCTTAGAATATACATACCTGGTGGGATCGTGTTGGTGCTTCTGTTTGTAGACACTAAATAATACTCAATGCTCTCGACCAGGCTTTTCATAGTATGTATATGGGTGGGGATTAGTATCAAGACTCGATCTTAAGACTTGTTTTTGTAAAAATGTATATCTACCCACAGAATCTGTTGTTGATCGTGTTATGCAAGCTTCTGCATTGATTAAACCTACCAAAACGGAAAAAACAGTAATGATAACAGAAAGGGATTTACACTGACTTAACCACTTATTTATCAAAGCAATAAATTCATCCGCAGATAATCGGTAAAAGTGCAACACACAAATGCAAGGGCTATGGCGATAAAGGCTATGGCGATAACTTTACCACACTTTTGAAAAATTGTTTTGTTTAAAATGGATTTTTTAAACTACCTTAACCATTTATTTATTAAAAGTATTGATTTGCCATCAGATAATAGGAAAATGCAGCAAACAAAAACATGGTTAGACCACCGCACGCCGATTTTGTTTTTCATAAACGCATCATAACAAAAAACCACGATTGTTTTTTTGTAAAATGCAACATACCAAAATATTCGTGGTTTAAGCTAATATATAAGGTCTACCAAGCTGTTTCACAACCATACATCATGATCTGCTCTACATGTGGAGTGTTTTGCTTTTGCCCAGAAACGGTCAAGTAAGTTTTACAAAAATATATATATTCTTTTGAGTATTATTTGTGTAATAACATTTTTAGATACTACGACGTAAGCACCATGACTACTCAAATAGAGGGGTCCTCCTCGGTGTCCAAGGGGACACAAACCGGGGAGACCACCCCTACAGTGGCGACGCAGAGCCACACAGAAGAGTAAGTACATTGTTATTTATACTTTCCTAAATTAATTTTCTAAATTTCACAGATGCATATCAACGGCTAACACTAATGTGTATGAGTAAGTAAATCTACTATTGTTATTTTTGCATAAAATAATTTTTTACATTTTCAGCCTGGAGAGCGATATAGACTTGTAAGTATAAAGATACAGCTAATGTGTTATGTATATAACGTTATTTTATCACGCTTATAATTATTGTTATTGCTTTACAGAGACATCCTAGAACTAATAGGCTGTCCTAGTTTATATGAGTAAGTATTAAAGGTGTTGAAATGTGTATATTATAATGTGTCTTTTTGTTTCAGACTAGACAGCGATATTGACGATTCTAAGGAGGAGGAGGAGAAGGATAAGGAGAAGGAGGAGGAGGAGGATAAGGAGGCAGAAGAGGAGGCATCCACATCACTGACGCCTCCACCAGTAAAAAAACAAAAAAAAATAGAAAAAATAATAAAATAAAATAAAATTTTTTTAAAAATTTCATGTTTTTTATTATTTTACACTTTTACAGTAAAAACTACATATAATAGAACCATTAAATCATTAGAGAATCATTATAGCATTACTAATAGTAGGTGTGAAAACAATGTACACAGTTCCAAAGGTAAAATAACCATCTTCTACGAATACTTCCAATGTTTCACCCTCGTTCACATGCAAGTTCTCGATGTAAAATATCTGTCCATCTATAGAAAACTGCAATTGAAGCAAGTCGCCCTCACCATAATTATTACCTAGCCATATCTCGCCATTGTAGACGAAATTATTTATTGTAAAAGTAATTAACACAAAGTCAAGATCTTGTGTGAATTGAACCAAATTTAAGTTGATGAATTGAAAGTTTTCTGATAAAATATTAATTTGAACAAGGAACTCGCACTCAGACATATTTATCAAACAAACAAGGTATTAGGTTAAAAGAATATCAAAGACTGTTACATTTCCAGGGTGAGATTCGAACTTTATATATTTGTGTAGAAGCAAGCAAACAAGAAACCACAGACCCATTTTGTACACGATAACAGATAAGAATGGTATTCTTTTAAAAGAAAAATCGTAAAAGAGAAGCAAATAAAGTGTTTAATAGGCCAATGACTATCCTATCAGAGGGTAGCAGAGGGTAACAGAGGGTAACAGAGCGTACCAGAGGGTAGCAGAGGGTAACAGAGGGTAGCAGAGGGTAGCAGAGCGTAGCAGAGGGTACCAGAGGGTAGCAGAGGGTAGCAGAGGGTAACAGAGGGTAGCAGAGGGTAGCAGAGGGTAGCAGAGGGTAGCAGAGGGTAACAGAGGGTAGCAGAGGGTAACAGAGGGTAGCAGAGGGTAACAGAGGGTAGCAGAGGGTAACAGAGGGTAGCAGAGGGTAGCAGAGGGTAACAGAGGGTAACAGAGGGTAGCAGAGGGTAACAGAGGGTAGCAGAGGGTAGCAGAGGGTAACAGAGGGTAGCAGAGGGTAGCAGAGGGTAACAGAGGGTAGCAGAGGGTAACAGAGGTTAGCAGAGGGTAACAGAGGGTAGCAGAGGGTAGCAGAGGGTAACAGAGGGTAGCAGAGGGTAACAGAGGGTAGCAGAGGGTAGCAGAGGATAACAGAGGGTAACAGAGGGTAGCAGAGGGTAACAGAGGGTAGCAGAGAGTACTAGAGACACACCGAGGGTAGCAGAGACCATATAACACAGCGTACCAGAGCGTACCAGAGGGTAGCAGAGGGTATAAATACAGAAGATGAAAACTATGACATCATTTGTTAAGATGTCGTCAAACAGAGCAGTTCAAGTAAAAAGACTCGCCGCAATTGTGAGAGCAAAGTATAATGATCTCAAAAGGATGCAAACTAATCAAAAAGAGCTACTAGAATCGACGTTAAAACCAGTAACTACACCTCTTAATGAATTACTCAACTACACAAATGAAACCAACACTAATAAAACATCAGATCTCGAAGAAGACGAAGCACAAAATATTCAAACAAAACACCTCACTTCCGAGGAAGTTCGACGTACTCAACCCGTGAAGGGTAATGATGCCTACCCTTATCTTAAAAAATATATCCAAGATGTGGGGGCCATCGACCAAGTATAACGGTCCGAGATTTAATTGGTCTACCGGTGACTGGAAGTTTGGAACTCAACCGATTGATTTTGATAAAGATAACATTCAAATGGATTCACACATTTTTAAAGCTACACCTGGTTTATACGAATTGCTTTTTTCCAAAAACCCTCTACAATACACACTAGCCAATCAAAATATCTACAAATCTCTGCTAGATATATCAGGTGCCCACAAGGACGGACGAGGTAGGCTACGTCACCAATCTCACACCGTTAAATACGAAAAAATTATTAAGCCCATGTATCCAGCTAAAAGAAAAAAACCACAGACTTTACATTCTAACGTAAGAAATGACGAATCACGTGACCACGATGCATCGGAACACCTGTGTCAAAGAAGACCACAGACCGTAAATGGTATTACAAGAAAGGTCGAAATACATGACCACGATGCGTCAATGGCAGTACATCAAAAGTCTAAAAGACACAACAATGTTCAAGATACACCAGACATACAGCAGGAAAATAAAATTCGTATTGAGGATCTGAGTGCTGTCGACAAACAGTTACTTGACGAAGTGGAAAAAATATGGACCCTCTATAACGAAAATAACGATCCAAATATACTTGTAGAAGGCCTCAAAATTCTTTCGAAAAACGATGCTCTACAAGGAAAAGAAGCAGAAGAAATAATAAGTGAATTGCGTTATCTAGAGCTTATTCATTAATTGTCTCCATCTAGCGGCTACTAAGAAAACGGAATACTTCAGAAGCCATCATCCCACTAACCGATGCCATCCTTCAAGAATATCATGTAATATGTATTAATTTAAACAAATAAAATAATATGGAATTTAGCATGCCTTTTTATTTTCTGCATAACCAAAACGCCGCGCCCGCGTCATTATCTTTACCTAAAAATATCGATGACATCACCTATCTTAGCCGTTTGACATAATACCTTGATAAAACCCAACAAGTATGTTTTGCACACGGCACTATCTTTGCCTAAAAGTAGCGATGACGTAATCCTCATTTGACAGGTAAGATCTTGTTAATTTTGCACAGATTTTCTAGCCGAAGTGCTACGAGTTCTCCCGAAGCGGGACAACGCCCTAAATTTTATTATCATTTTATGGAAAAATGATCGTCGTTTTTGGCAAAATAGATTTTGTTTTGTTCTAATAATTAATTATAAATGTACATACTTTTATTATTTTGAATAAACTCGGTTTTAATTGTTTTATCACATTATGATAACAGCTAGCCGCAACTCGAAAATATAGATAATTTACAACTGGGATTTCGTAAAATGACTAACTGATATGTTTTAAATACTTTATACAGCTGTTTTTATGTAAAATTGAAAATAAACACCCCTGTTTTTTCTCAAACAGCATTTTCTTACCCCTTTTCCTTATCATAGAGTGTCACGTGACCTAGGGTGAAAACGTATAAAATGCGCACAACAAGATTTACTCTCATTTCTTATCAGTCAGCTCTGACGTTAAGACGTGCTCTCTCTCTTATCAGCTCTTGCTCTTATCATCCTTTACAGTAAGTGTGCAATTTTTTTAATTTTTGAAAAATAGATATTACATTTTGAATTTGTAGTTCATTTGAAAAAAATTGTAAAGTTTTTTGATTTTTTTAAGTTTCTAATTTTTGATAATTTTCGAAATGGTTCAAAATTGGTCATTGAAGGTTTTAACGCGTAGGTTCATAACTACGTTTTGTGCGTACCTACATAGTTTCCGACTCTCTGCGACAGGGGGTTCTCTTAGTCACGGCGAAGAGCATTTAAAAAATCTGTTGGAAAAGGCACTGAATGATGCAAAGACACAAGGTGGCTACAAAAAAGGTGATAAAATTCGTATAATTGCCCACAACGACAATTTCAATCACCCTATATCGACAAAAGTAACCACAGAAGACAATATGGATAATTTGTTGCAACAAGTTGAAAACATATTAACATCTAACGATACTGTTCTTTTGGGTGACACAAAATTTGATATTCAAATTTTCAAGATGCCTAGGGGTAGTGGTCGTCGTAAAATGATAAATTTGTCAGAGGATCGTCGTACCAAAAAGAGCATTACACGGATTGTTAATAATGATAATCTTTGTGGGGCTAGAGCAATCGTAACGGCTCTTACATACATCACAACAGAGATTTTAGGTTACAAGATAACAGATAGTGATGTGAAAAATATGCGAAAGGGCCGAAAATTGCAGACGGTTTTGGCGGAAAAACTTTGTGGTCTGTTGGGCGGGTGCTATGACGAAGGCTTTACTTTGGATGATTTTAAGAAGGCAGAGGAGTTGCTGGATGTACAAATAAAGATAATTTGCGCTGAAAACTTCAACACTCTTATCTATGAGGGCCCGAAAAAACAACCAAACTTTATTTGTATAAAAACGGGAATCACTTCGACGTTATAAACAGATTGAAAGGTTTGTATGGCACACATTTTTACTGTACAAAGTGTGATACTCCTTATGATAATAAAAATAAGCACAAGTGTAAGAAAGCACCGTTGTGCACGGTTTGCAGACTACCCGAGCACACCGTCCAAAACAAAATTCTGTGCAAGAGTTGTAATCGTTATTGCTACAATGATGAATGTCTGGCAAACCATACAGAAGTTTGCAAAGAGGTATTTAAATGCACCACTTGTAATAAAATTTGTAAGAGGGAACATCGACATGAGTGCGGCTACTCGGTGTGCAGGAATTGTAACACATTCGTAGAGATAGCTACACATCAGTGCTATATGATGAAAAAACCAGCCAAAGGAGGGGTTTGTACAATCCCATGTGTATGTAATAGTCGTAGTAACGAAGTAAATAAGGGGTGTCAATACAATACTAAAGCAAAAACTATTTGTAAAGAACCATGTAAATGCAATGGCCTCTCTAACACTCCCATAAATCGTTGCACATATACAGAAAAATATTTATTTTTCGATTATGAGGCAATGCAGGATACCGGAATTCATGTACCAAATCTTATAATAGTCCATGATTATGCTGGTAACAAATATGCTTTTAAAGATAACGAAGAGTTCTGTAAATGGCTAATTTCCGAAGAGCATAGAGGGTATACAGCAATCGCTCACAACGCTAAGGGATACGATTCGTATTTTATTTTAAAATACTGTGTAGAAAACACGATAAAGCCGTACACTATCTACAACGGGTCAAAACTGATGCTTTTGGAAGTCGAGGCTCTTAAACTAAAAATAATAGACAGCTCTAATTTTGTAGCCGGCCCCTTGTCCGGTTTTCCTTCAACTTTTGGTCTAAATGAGCTAAAAAAGGGGTATTTCCCACATTATTTTAACAAGCCAGAGCACCTTTCATACAATGGTCCAATCCCTGATACCTCGTATTACGGGCCAAATGCCA